CAGTTTTCTCCTTGTCCTTAGGGTCAATTTCAACTTGCCAGTACCCACTTTTAGATCCAGCGTGCTAAACCACTTTACTCCTGTAAGCATATCCAGCGTGTCATCAATTCTTGGCAAGGGATAGCTGTCCTTCTTCGTAACGTCGTTCAGACGGCGGTAGTCAACACAAAACCGCATGCTGCCATCCTTCTTCTTCACCAGCACCGCTGGTGAACACCATGGACTAGAGGAAGGTTCAATAACATCATCCTTCACCATTCCTTCAATCATGGTTTCCACTTCCTTTTCACGTGCTACCGGCAATCTTCTTGGCCGCTGACGGATAGGCAATTCTTCTCCTGTGTTTATTTTGTGTTAAACTAAGCCAGTCTTTCCTATGTCAGCATCGTTTGATGAGAATACATCGGCGTACTTGAGTAACAACTTCTTCGCCTTGACCAATTCGTTCGGGTAGAGAACACTCCGACAGTCTTCCAAAAGTGTGGTCACTCTCGTTTCTGCATCCTTGCTGGGGGTCCCACTCGATATATATTGGCACAGACGCAACCAATCCACTTCCTCACAAGTACCAATCAGTGTACCTTTTTCTATAATCTGGTCCCGGTCGCAAAGGTTCAGTACACGTACTCCTGAGATGTCAGTGGTCCTGACCAAGGTTCGAGCTACTTTCCATGGAAGGTCATTGTTTACCCTTTCCACAAGTACACAACGGTGGGCTTGCCCAGCGTTTCGAGGAAGACTAACCGGAACAATCGTTTCCGATCTCGGCGGAAGAACAATCTTCTTAATGCTGTACACGTTCCCTGGTAACGCACCTTCCATAAAAAGTTCCTCCTGTCCACATTTCAAAACACCTTGCTTAACGTCGATCTCACAACAATTATTCCTCATAAAGTCTAGGCCTAGGATGCAGTCGTCCATTATATCAGCCACGATGACATTATGCAGGTAGATCACGTTGCCTAGCTTCAACTCCATCTCCTTCTCTCCACGGACGGGTATACGCTGACCGGTGGCTGTTACCAAATTAATGCGTTCTCGGTTGTATGCGGAGTCCCCAAGGAACTGACTTATAAGTTGGGAACTAACAACCGTACGAGAGGCTCCAGTGTCTATGGTCAGTTTACACGGCATTCCGTTGACCTCGCCCTTGATGATTAGACTGTTCCCATCATGGGTTTGTGAAATCGAGATCCTTGGGGCTCTTTTAACATCAGCCAGCACCCGCCCCGCAGTTCTGGCTTTTACTCGTTTCCCTGCTGCTGCTGGGCGGTGCTGTTGGCCGCACTACCCTCCTGAGATCGTTCACCTTCCCTTTCTAGGGTTCGCTTAGGGCAGCTGAATCGAAGATGGCCCTTTTCCCCACAGCCATAGCACCTTGGGCTGTACCCTTTGTTGCGGTAGCGAACTGTAGCTGCTGCAACCTCCCTGACGCGATGGGAACGATGATCCTGCCGCACGGCTTCCACTTCCAGTGCATGGGCCAAGGCGTCCTTAAGCGTCTCGTGGTGCCCGAACCTCATAGCAGCTCTGACTTCCAGGTCGCGGATGCCGTCGATGAATGTCTGCACCAGGTTCCTTTCAATGAGCGCAGGTACAGACCGGTATGCTTTTCGCACCAGCTTCTCCACTTCTAGAGCCCACTGCTGCAGGTTTTCGTTGATGCGCTGCACAAGATCTTTAAGCTGCGCACGAAAGACGTGTTCCAGGTGAGCGTCGCCATATCTCGCCTCCAATGCCTCAAGGAGTTGCTCATAAGTCACTTCCTCACCGAGAGCTTCCAGAACTGTCAAGGCCTGATTTTTATTCCAGCCGTTCGCCTTCATAACAGCCTCGAACTGGATTTTGTAGGCTGACCAGGAAGAAGTCCCGTCGAACGGTGGCACTTTGAACCCACGTAGCGAAGGTGTAGTAGCTACTACGGGAGCTGTAGTTCCATCACCCAGTTTGAGGTCGTCCAGCGTTTTCTTCACGTCAGCCACCACGTAATCAACCCGATTGTTCACTTGGTCGATTTGGGTTTTAGCTTCCTTGATTTGGGTTTCAGCTTCCGACAGGCGGTTGTCATGTTGAGCAACCTTATCCTTCACCTCCTTTATCTCTTTCCCAAAGGTAGCATGAAGGTCCTTAATGAGGAGCATCTGCTCTTCCGACCGATGGGCCTGTTCCTCCTGTCGGCGGGCCTGCTCCTCTTGTCCGCCCTGCAGCTGCTCTTTCAACTGACGGACCTGTTCCTCCTGTCGGCGAGCCTGTTCCTCCTGTCGGCGAGCCTGTTCCTCCTGTCGGCGAGCCTGTTCCTCCTGTCGGCGAGCCTGTTCCTCCTGTCGGCGAGCCTGTTCCTCCTGTCGGCGAGCCTGTTCCTCCTGTCGGCGAGCCTGCTCCTGCAGCATCACCATCAGAGCACCTAAGTCAGGTGCTGCAGATGTAGGAGCTACCGACGGGCCTTCAGCCGGTGGCTGGCCCTCCGACGTCTGCGGCGTTGCACCACCAAATCTTCGTTGGTCCGTCTCCTGCTGGCGTTGACTTCGGGTACGGACACCCTCAGTTTCCTCCTTAGGTAAAATCGGCATGATTTTATCCCACTTCTGACACCAATTGTTACGAGCTTGAGGTTCGTGACAATAAAAATTGCCGATAAAATTACCTAAATTAACACTTTAATTTACTTTACACAAATTAAAGTTAAAAACACTAATAATTAAACACACTTATTCACTTTATTCCGCTCCGAAGCTTCGCTTGTTTCGCCAAATCAACACTGCCTCGATCGCATCTTGCAGCGCCTATATATTTAAATTAGCAAAGAAATATCCAGAATGTTCAAGTAAACACGCGCAAGGTACCGAGCGTTCGAGTTTCGACTAGGCGCTGTCGGTTGAGTGATTTGTGATGTCATTTTCTCAATGCTCCCCTCGCTCTCGTTCCTGACACTAGATGGCGCTAGTTGACTTATTCATGCAACATTATTATTAAGCTTCTTTCTTTCATTTTAAACTGCATGAATAACTGTACTATTAAGTATAAAATTTTGATATTTTGATGTAAATCTAAGTTGATACGATTACGTAGGAAGAGCGAGACTCTCCCAACACAAGTATCTTATGATTACTGTCTGGGAGGCTTTGGCAAACTAACTATAAAAGATTTACTGAAATGAAACGTTTTTATAATTTTTACATTAAAAATTTATTATCAAATAATGTGCTGTAATAATTATTTTTATACGAACGTATATATACCACTTCGTTACGCTACAAAACAAATAAATTGAACTAATTAATAATGACATAGTTAATTTACCCTTCAATAAAACAAGAATTATATGTACACAATTTGAATTACGATTTACGATACTCAGAAGAGACCTATCTGCTTTTTATATTCTTTGATCAGAACAATATTACTTCTCTTTCAAACTCATTTATTGGGGTATTTTTATCTCTCTCTATTTTTTCTGACAATATATTTTAAAATACGTAGTTTCTCAATTCGTAAACAATACGAAAATAAATTAAGGAAATAGTAAACGAATGAAATATGATTCCTTTTGACTTTTGGAAACCTTTCTTGTGTGGTTTGTGCAGAATCTCATCATATATGACGGCATTTTTGGTGCAAAAACAAAACACGAATTACTATCAACGCCGTTGTCAATGACGCGACGATAGCGCTACGACTGAGCTCAGGTTTGCTAATTAGCCTAGTTTTTACGTGCCACATGCAGTGCGCTTATAACCTATCTACCTCTTTTTCTTATAATATCATTGTTGTTAACCATAATTTTGAATTTGATGTTAGCCGTGGTTAACTATAACATTGGGATGTCGAAGTTCTCAGTCGCCTCCGAGACCAGGGCAGGGGTATGAAAGTTCTCAGTAACTTGCTTTTACGTTGATACTAGCACCAATTTACAGTCATTAAAAGCACAAAATTCCCTATTATTATATTTCCTATTATTACATATTTTACTCAAAAAATGGCACCACTGTCCACTGCCAACATTTATCATTCATGCCGAAGCCTAAATCACGCTATCAAAGTTTTGAAATACTGCGGTATATATATATATATAAAATAAGTTTGAATTTATAATTAATTTGAGATTTTAATTTAATACACACCGATTAGAAAGCTATACGTGTAGCAAAGTGGTTAATTTCTAACTATTAAACATTTCTTATTATTTATTGAGATGTACGAAATAATACTGAACCAAGTTGATTGCGCGCTGTGTATTTCTCGGTAATTTTATAATTTATAATCCCAACGCCATCTATTACAGCGCAGAGGAAACTTCTCTCGTTTCGTCACCAAATAATTTGTTAGAGTTGCCCATCTATGCCCTATATATAGTATATTATCTATGTCCGTGACCATGGGTTATGGAGTGTATAAGTAAGGAGTACCAACTCCCATAGTAGAATAGTTGAAAAAGTATCCATCTGTAAGCAGTAAATAACAGTTCAAAAACTCTCCACAACAGCGCTGGAGTAGCTACTGGGATGAAATGAACTTAGCAGTTGTCGACGGTTTCAAGTCTGCTGCTAAACTGCTCAGTAGCTTTAAAATCTAAAATAATTTTATTTAGTAAATATAACCTCGAAAATTCGTCTATCCCACTTCTATTTTTCGGGACGTTCTTTAAAATTTAGCCCGTAGCTATAGTGGCGCCACCCTTATTTAACGGTTTTCTATGGACAATTTTTAATACACAGTCTGTACTCCTTACTTCTACACTCCATACCATGGGTGCTGTAAAGTAATCGATACTACATGATACGCGATAAAATCCGTATAAACTATTTTTATTTAAATTTTTTCGCTTTCGTGTATGTCTGTTCGGGTCGAAATTAGTAGATAATTGATTTTAAACTAACTTCCTGAGGACCTAGAGATTTAAAATTTTAAACATAGCTCAAAAGCAGATGACAATGTAAGAATATGAAAAATAACGTGGTATATTAAAAAAGTATTAATTTTTTTAATTTCTCTTATTTCAGGTTGTAACAACTTCTACGCCGGTCGTCTTGGACTCTGGCAATGGATATACAGAGAAGTTCACGGACGCGGTAAGTTTCACGCTTTGAAGAGAGCCTTTCGAGTTATACCTTCTGGTTTCGAATTGCAACTTTGTTGTATGTTTAAAACTTGACATCAGACACGAACCATGAGCAGTACTTAACGCGCAAGAGAATTAATGCGTTTGTTAATAAATTCATTATCTAATCCTTATTGTGGTACTGTCAGCAAAACAAATATATGTCATGAATATATTTATCCGTCTTTAAAAAAATAACGCGATATCATCGTCAAATGTGAATCAATTTTGATGATGTGGTCCTATAAAAAAATTGAGATAAAATTGAACCCCTACTAAGGTTGGCAAAATAGGGAAAGAAATTTTTTAATGTTGTTGTTACTTTAAGCTTGTTTCTTGATGGTCCCTAAGTTGTATCGCTCCGGAAAAATTGTCGCTTGTGTACGATTCCACAAAGAAGTCGTGTGAGGAAGAAAACTAGTATAGTTGTCAAGAACTCGTAGTTTGATAGTCTTTCATTCCTTGTCGGTGTGACGACAATGCACTATGTCAATTTCATCAATCCATTCATTACAGCTTATGAAAGTCCACTGCTGAACATAGGCCTCACAGAATGCCTTAAGGGGGGATTTTGCCATAGTTCCCACGCTGAGGCGGTTTGGCAACCGCAGTTTTTTTAAATTTGTCAGGAAGATACTGCTGCTCATTTCTTGTTTTAGTTTCCCTTATTCGCTTCTTACGACAACCTCGGGACGATATGGGGTAGTGGATATTCTTACACCGCCATTACGCGGTTAAATAACATTAAATGTCAGTTTGACAGACCTTATTTATTTATTTTTATTTAATATTTATATATTCAACTAGGGGTTACAAAGGATGGACTTTAATGCCCTATGGCATTCTACCAGTCAACTCTTAGAAAGATGGTAATCTGTTTGACAGACCTTATTTATTTATTTTATTTATACTTATATACAGGGTGTTAGTGTAAACACCGTTGTCCTTGAAACCAGTGGTTTGGTTTCACTTATAGAACGTAAATTCAATGAATTAAAAAAAACGCTATTTTCTTTCATAAAATTTAAAAAGTTTCTGTCCGACACCGTCCGTAAATTCATGGATACCCTATGCGCCCGAGTGACGTAACCACTGTAAAGATCACCGCCCTCGCTAGCTACCTACACTACATTCCAATAAAAACACAACAGGTACACATAACCTGTGATGTAACTTTTCCTTCATACTTTCATCCTGGCTTAGGACAGGCAAAAATTGAGGAGGAGGAAAATTGAGATTTTTACTAAAAAAAAATAATGTTATTTTTCATTAAATTTACGTTCTATAAGTGAAACCAAACCACTGGTTTCAAGGATAACGGTGTTTACACTTACACCCTGTATTTAACTAGGGGTTACAAAGCATGGACTTTAATGTCCTATGGCATTCTATCAGCCAACTCTTAGAAAGATGGAGTGAATAAAGATGTTGGTAAATACAAATAGAGGACAACAAAAAACTTTTATCTTACCATGCGCGCTAAATATAATTTTCTATTCAATACTGTTTCTTTCCGTCTTCACAGATTTTCGAAGCAACAGAGGCACTGCAAGCGCAATCCACTGATAAATCCATCGGTGAGTAGTTGTGATCTGAACGTCTTAGATTCGATTCTATTTGGGTAATAAATTGATTTCATACCATTTAATAATTAAATCAGATTTTATTTGAGCTATTTGTTTCTGATTATGGTTGTTTCAGTTTTTTAATTATGAACGGAAAAAATATATGTAGTGAAAACTTGGGTTGCGCGTTTTTTATATATAGAATAAAGATGAAAAACGAGCATGCAGTCCACCTGATGCTAAGTGCTTGCTGTGGCCCATAGTATCTACATTTATCCTCAATTAAGAATCCAAATGCAGATTCGTTGTCACCCGTGAGGGCTAAGATGAAATACCTCATTATCAGTAAAGAGAGTCCGGTTCTCTACACTCACCATACGAAACACAATATCATTAAGCTGCTATTTTACGCTGTTATTCTATGAGAGCGTGGTCCTTCCCCGGTCGAGCCGACCCATTCGTGCTACAATCATAATATATCTGCAGCGTGGCTCTACCTCATAATGCGTGATGTATTATTCTTAAAGGTCCACTACTGAAGCTCTCTCGTTGTACGATAAGCAAAAAAATAAAAACCAGAAGCATAGTCGTTTACTGTCGATTGTGTGCAAAGTTCGTTTCCCACTGTCGTCTGCTATGAGACCCACTAGATGATATACAAATACTAGATATTCTTACACCGTCTCTGTAAGTTCAAACTCAATATATATTTCCTGTTATTATATTTTTAGTAAGTACATCGGAAGCTGACACCGCTGCGAAGTTGTTTATAACGGACGATAAGAAAATTATCCTGCAAGATGGTGAGTTTGTGACTTATAAATTTATATATCAACATTTAAATATTTGCATACTCGAAAAGGGGTTAAATGTGTGAAACTTTATTAAAGTGAAACTTCTTTATCGACGTAGTGGATAAATTTAGTAAGGTGTTAAAAAATATAATTTAATGTATTGAACAAACTCAGATGAAGTAAAAAAAGGTAGATATCGCTCCTATAACAAGAAACTGTAACTAATTTTATAACCTTGTGTTAGCGCTTGTGTGTTGCCACTTTATTTTAAAAGTTCCTGAAAATCGAGATGTAATACTACAACTATAAGAGTAAAATGCGATGCGAATGCGAAAGTATATCTATCTGCTTTAGTATCAAGAATCATGTCCAATTCTGACCTGAAAATTTTCGAGAAGCGTCTAGTGAGTGTAAAATATCTTATAAAATTGCTCTTTTTTTGCTTATTTCGAATCGCATAATTGAATTTTCTAATAAAGCCAGGAAAAAGAGTAATGTTAATATGTTTATCACTTTCAATAGACTTTTGGAGACGGAACGAGTTCTACAATGACTTAAAGGCCCAGAAGCCATGCCAAAACATATTTAAAAAAACGTGTTTGTCAATGACAGTCCGTCATTTGTTTGAAGTTTTGCAGTCGTTCGTTAGCTTTCCCTACGTTTTGTACTGTGCGATTTTGGATTTTCTGATACCCTTACAACTTGCATTTTCCACGGACTTCGATACCTTCCACTCACGATTACTTTGGCCTGTGTAATACGGATACCGATTTAGCTTTTTGATTGGGATCTAAGACGTTATCGTACTTGTTGGAAAGCGTTATGGAGCCTTCTACGAGAATGCTATGTATAAACTGTAACATATGTATTAATACGCTTCAGCGTTATCGGGCCCTTCAGCTTGATAGCAGAGTCATCTCGCTAATTAGCACTTGGATATCTCCAGTAATAGTAAGTAGTAATAACATACAACATATAACATATAACATACAACAATACAATAGTAGTAGTAAGATTTTACCCATGTTTAGCTAAAGTGTCCTTTAGGACAGTTGTCTAAAATAAAAAATAAAACATGTAAAAATACAAATTAAATGTGCCTATTTCAATTTATGCTTTATAATCTCATAATTGATTTATTTTTCAGATTACGGAAGAGGACTACATTTGTGAAGCGTGCTTTGATGTATCCATGCAGTCTATTAATGCTCAAATTCATGGAAACAATGAGTGTCATCCATCTGCTTGTTCATCTCGCCTTGGTCATACTCAAGTGTGCCCCGTTTGTGGTCGATCATTGCTCAATCGTCAAAGTGACCATATTCAAAAAGAAAACCCATCAAGCCTCACACTAAGAATGATCAACTTAATTCGAGCTACTGTAGCACCTCGTCAGGTTTGTATTTAAATATTCAATCTCATTTTCAACTGCATGCAATTTTTTCATTAAACTTCACATTCTAATTTATGACATTACTAGGTATGTCACTGCATTTATTACAAATATGTTGTTTTTTTTGTTGACAGATATCACAATATGATCGTGTATGTCATGCCTGTTGGTTGAGGTTTAAAAGACAAGCTCTTTTAACTCAACAACAGGATGAAAGAAGAGGCTTAGAAGGTGATGAGACTCCTCACGGTCAAGAAGAAGTGGAACAGCCTGTTGATGCAGTTCATGTTCCAGAATTACAACCTCCCCCGTTTCTTGCAAGTACAGATGAAAGGGATTCGTCTGTAGAATCAGTTGCAGCTCCAGAGGTTCATTCGCTACAATCTCAAACCCAACAATCAAGTAACATTACATTACATAATTATAAACGTGCTCCCAATACAGCATCTCATTGTGCATTTTATGGGTGTGAAAATGAAAATCTGCATACTGTGTCAGATGCACTGCGGGCTACCATTTTGTGCAACTACAATTTTTATATTCCCAAACTGGCAAGAGTATGCACATACCATTTACATGGAAACAGTTGGAGTTCCCTTTATACCAGTGAAAACAGCATGAGCGATTTCACTGTTGAACAAGTTGAGCATGTTTTTTCCTTTGTTCAAAAATACAAGCATTTTCTCGATTTTTCAAGCATAGAATCATTACAAGAAATTGAAGACAATTTATTTGAATTTTGGATTGGCTTGTCAAAATTGAAATTCCTTAATTTGTTAGAAGACCTTCCCCGACTGTTGGAAAAACATAGGGGTGTATTAGGTCTAGCTGCTGTATTGATAAAGATGCGGACAGGTGATTCCGACTTAAGAATATCAACATTGCTAGAAGTTCCTCGTACTACACTAGAGAGGTTAATGCAAACAGCACGAGAGGTACTGCTACAGGATTTTGTTCCATGTAACCTTGGAATAAATCACTTGCCGAGAGAACAATTAATAGAACACAATCTAATCATTCCGAATGGAATTTACAATGAAAATAATAAACAATGTATTGTGATGTGTGATGGAACATACATTTTTTTAAATAAAAGTGGCAATTATATGTTTCAAAAAGACACATATTCTTTACACAAATATAGAAATCTGTTAAAGCCATTTTTAATAGTTGCCTGTGACGGTTACATTTTAGATTGTTTTGGCCCATACAAAGCTACCACATCTGATGCCGATATAATGTCTTCTTTGTTCAGCAACGAAAATTCCCCACTGAGACAATACTTTCAAGATAATGACATATTTATTTTAGACAGGGGATTCAGAGACAGCATCAGCTTATTGGAGCATTGTAATTATAAGGCATATATGCCAGAGTCACTTTTGGAAGGTGAACACCAGTTAACCACCACCCAAGCAAATAGAAGTAGATGTGTAACTATTTGCAGATGGGTGGTGGAGGTTGTAAATGGATATTTTAAAAGAGATTTTAGATTATTAAGGTTTGACAATTTTAATAAAACTGTACCAAATATGATGGCTTATTTCCAAATTGCTGCAAGTTTAATAAATAAGTTTGGTGTTCGTCTTCGCAATAGAGCTGATGCTGCTCAAATTCTTGGTATAATAAATGAAAGGATGCCCTTGGAAAATAACTTAATTAATATAGTTACAGAATATAATTTAAATCGCCGGGCATCCTTTTTTCAAAGCATTACAGCTGATACTGCTAATATTGAGTTTCCCCCGTCTAGAATACAGTGAATTAATATTATTCGCCTTGGGAACGTACCAAATTCGCCAAGTGCGTTCATATTACGGTGAACACGTACGTTTCCATGGCGGATACAGGATAGAAGTTTGTCAAGATACTAATAATATACCTGAGTTAGGCAGTGGGGAAAATTCACTTATAAAAGGAAAAATAAAGTCTAGACATATCTCAAGACGTCAGTACTATGTGTACATTTTGATTGCAAATGGTGTTGATGGAAGAGAAGGCATTGTAGAGTATTGCTGTAACTGCATTGTAGGACGTCGCACTGTAGGTTGTTGTGCGCATATTATGACAATGGTGTGGTACTTGGGTTGGGCCAGGCATGAAACCAATATTGAGCCTCCAGCTGCATTTTTAGATGAAGTGGTCATACGAGAAGACAATGAATAAATAAAAATAAATCAAATCGTGTTTTTTATTTAATTTCCCTGTTCTCGCCAAAAACATGTAGAAAAGGTAGCTCTTTTTGTTATCTATTAATGTTGTGATGGCCCATAGGTTACAACTCGCCTCTTATGCACAGGCTGTGAGTTCAAATTCAGGCAAGTACCAATGTGTGTCTTTCAATGCGTAGGTACGTATTTTCTAAGTTTATCTTACAATGGGGAAGGAAAACATCGTGAGGCAACCTGAACTCAATAATCATATGGTAGAAGTATAATAATCAAAATAAAAGTCTGAAACTGCCAACTCATCTTGACTCTGCTTGGTGATTAATGCTGCTGCTTTCTCTGTATGAAAAGAGGTCTTTTCCCAGCAGTGGGGCCGTATTATTATGCTTATATTAGGTATTATTTATTCTCTTTCTCTGTTCATCAGACTTTTAGAGTTCGATGGCAGAAAGCGTCGCCTGTCAGGACGACTCCTTGAGTCAATCTGTTACGACGACAGCTTTTGACCGATAATTAAATGAACTATACGTATATTGTTCTAATTTGCATAAAGTGTAGTCTAAAAATCAACATAGGCGAGATATTACGAAAACGTAACTGCTATTTGTGACCGCGCACAGATGATAATATTACATTGAAGAGGGATTTATTTCTGAGTGATTGTAACTCTCTCGGCGATTAAGAAACAATAACAGAGTACTTTTTGTATACCTGAAAGAAACAATTTGATTATAAACGTATAGTTTTTGAGGTTGCGACAGCTGTCAAATAAGGTTTGACAGCTGTCATAACCTGAAAAACTTATTTACTTAATAGCATTTTTCCCTGGCCTCTAAATGAAAAGGTAATAAGTTATTATGTTATTATAAACAATAATTGATTTTATGCAACAGCACTTGTAGGTAGACGCGCCCTGTAAAACAAATCAAGTGACAGGTCAATCAATGTATGGGAAGTGGGCATTCTTCTTTCAACAATATGACAATTCAAAAAAAGATGAAGCACGTAGGAGGCGTCTGTAGATTATTTAAAAGTCTCTTTGATAGATTGTCTAGTGAGCATGTAAGCATCGATAAAATATACAACATAATGTGTAATGTAAAACATGTTTATTATAAAAATAACCTAATACTAAAAAAAAATGGAATAAAAAATAAATTTACATGAAATTAAATATATACTTTTCTAAATGAAAAAAGTATATTTTAGTAAATGCAAAATAGAACAAGCTCCAGACGGGGGCACAAGGAAGTGTTCTAATTTGTACCCCGGATAGGAGAGATATGAAGTGTCAGCCGGAGAGGACACCCGAGTCTCGGTTAAAAAGAGCAAGGCCGGATTCGCCATCTCCGGGTGGTACTGGACAACATTAAGATTGGAATGAAGTGTCCTGATATTGCAAAAATTCACGGATAGCGTGATGGGGGTCGCCTTGGTCTTATTGCTCCGCTTGCCCCTAGCAGTTTTAGTCGCAAGCAGAATCCCCACCCACACTCAGGAAGAGTAAAGTAGCTTGGTCGTGGATGCTCAGCGAGGGATTCTCCGTCACCAGGAGTGAGGGTACCCTCTTGGGGTAGTTTTTATTTGATTTCGCTACGATGTTAAGGGGAGGGGGAATTGGGCCTCCAGTCCAAGCGAAACACAGAGGTAAACCTCTACTTCACGCAGGTATTCTGAGAGGTTGCGCTACCACCCCGGTTCAAGCTGGCCCATCCATGCGACATCAATAGCCGCTGAGTGGCTCTACCACCGTCAAGTCAAGAGGATGGCTGCCATTTTGGTACATTTGAACCCAATCTTATAGCAGCTACCTTTAATTTTTTATAGGATAGGGTGACAATCGAGCATACAGTCCACCTGATGGTAAATGTTTGCTGTGGCCCATAGGCATCTACATCTGTCGTCGATTACGAATCAAAATGCAGATGCGTTGTCACACGTGGGGACTTAGATGGAATGCCTCGTTTCCAGTAAAAAGGGTCTCCGGTTCTCTACACTCACCATACGAAACACAGCAGCATGAAGCTAATATTTTATGCTGGTATTCTGTGAGAGCGTGGTCCTTTCTCGGTCGAGCCGAACCGTTCGTGCTATAACTATACTACTAATAGTGTAACTGCAGCATGGATCACCACGTAAAAAACTCATGTCTTATTAAAATATTCGTTGGTAGCCTAAAATCATAAATATTTTTGATAGTAAAATAGTTCGTAAGTACTCAACAATTAAAACGGAAACATCAGCAACTTAAAAACGTAATAACAACTAATTAAAAAGAATATACTGACTACATATATTTTTATAACTTAGGCTAAAATTAATTACCAAAATCCTGGACCATTAGAAATAAGAAATACTGGTAACATTCTCCCGTGACGTAAATTCGAAACATCGACATTCGTGCTTCGAATAACCTTCAAAATTGTGTTGGAATAACAAAATAAAATATAGTTAAATAAGTGTTTACGAGTGAAATGATATTGCTTCAGACTTTTTGTTTAGTATCGTTTTTGCATCATTTAACTACACTGGACGGCATTTTGTAGGCAAATTGACTGCACGGCGTCCCGGGAAGTACTGAGCGAAAATTAGCGTAGTTTGATGCATGTGTGTGCGTGAACGCGTGTGCTTACATAAATGAGCGGAGTTTTTTGGCTTCACCAATAAGAAAGGCCGCGCTATATGTACCTTTTTTTACTTCATCTGAGTGAACAAAATATTAATTAATAAAATACGGAACCTAACTGGCTACGAGAGAAAGAGTAAAAGAAAATGTGCGCGCGCACTTCTCTCTCTTGTTATAAAGCACCCACTCAACTCCCGTTCGCCTCACCCTATCACACTTTTCGTAACGCTTTCGTCACGCGTTTGCCAGCTTACTCCACAAGTCAAGCGTGCGTAAAGAAGTTTTACTTCAAAAGTCACGTTTTCTTGTAACGTTTCACCGCCGGCGTTGCATGAGTGTGCTATTATTGAACCTATTTATGTAAAATATAAAATAAAAGAAGCAATTTATGTCGTAAAGAAGTGTCACTTCGTACGTGTACACAATTACACACACAATTACACACACAATTTTTTTATACCACGAGATAAAACCACACTTTCTGCATTTAAATTATTATAATTAGGTTTTTTGAAAACAATGATCTACAATGATATACGAAGCATTTGTATAAATTTTATACGTTGTAGAGCCAAACTCAAGTTATGATACAGTTGTAGCACGAATGGATGAGCTCGAACGGGGAAGGACCACGCCCTCACAGAATACCAGCGTAAAATAGCAGTTCAATGCTGTGTGTTTCTTATGATGAGTGAAGAGATCTGAACAGCATTTTTACTGGAAACGAGGCATTCTATCTTAGAAAAAGAAACTCCTCAAGGGAAAAAATCCATCTGCATCGTAATTCTTAATCTAAGGTAGATCTACATTTACATCTATGAGCCACAGCATTCAAAACCATCAGATGGAAATTGTGCTCGATTGTCACTTTTGTTCTATAAGAAAAAAGGGGACTTCTAAAGAAAAAAGTACCGTAAATAAATTTTTGGAAAGACTCCATGACTGCAGTTTCTCAAAGTCATCGCTTACGCCCCCGCACGGTTGCGTCAATTATATAGTTTCATTGTTATTTTTTAACAGTTTGCCCCATTTTTTATATCAGTTTTTATTGTTGGTTCTTAAGATTTCTTTATTTTATTGTTATTTTTTATTTTAGGTAAATCCACAATAAACTTAATGCAAGACAACGAGGAAACCCCTCTATTGACTATACGTAAGTTGAATTTTATATCTAGACACAGTAGTGTGTCAGCCAAGTTCGGAAAAGAACAGTGCGACGCGTTGGCAGTGTATGTTATGTACCAAATGATTAAAAGGATATGCATAAAGGCCGATTTACACTTCTACAAGTACAGTAGTAAGTTAACTTGCGAACCTGGCGAGTTAAGTAAAAAAAATAGTTTGAACGGTAATTAGTGAGTTAGGTAGCAAAATAACAATTAATTTGAACGGGATAACCGGTCAGTCTATTTCTAGGCGGGTCAAGTTCGAAGTTTTGCCCTCCTGTGCGTGTCCCACCACCCGCAACTAAACTCGCCGCTCGTGTGACCGAGCGAGTTTATTTCAGCTTCAGTGCATAGGTTGACAGGACGCAACGTGTACGCGTTCGACCTTCAAAATATAAAATTGTACTTTTTTAATTAAGATTGCCACGAAGACATTTGAACGCTACTGCCCACTTAACCGTTTACTGTCAATTCTGCCCTGTAACTAGACTCGCTACTGAACTTGTCGAAGTGTAAATCGGCCGTTATGTCCAAACAGTTTGAAAAATGCCCCATATGAATAGGCAAAATTAAAGATAAAATTTAAAGCGTGTGGACATTTCTAAGGGAGCAGGTTACGATGATATTCCCTCAATATTCTTTTCTAATTCCACAAACAATCTTCTTAAACAACTTTACAACATTTTTTACTCGTAGTAAAGTCATGCTGCAGTTATATTAGTAGTATATTTGTCTCTCTCAATATACCAGCGTAGAATAGCAGCTTAATGCTGCTGTGTTTCGTATGATGAGTGTAGAGAACCGGAGACCCTTTTCACTAGCAACGTGGCATTCCATCTTAGTCCTCAAGGGTGAGAACGCATTTGCATTTTGATTCTTAATTGAAGATAAATGTGGATGTCTGTGGGCCACAGCATCCACTTACCATCAGGTGGACTGTGTGCTCGTTTGTCACCCAATGCTCTATATTTTTTATTAATGTAGAATTGTTAAGTATGTTTGTGGATTCTAAAGAAATTTTTCACGAGGTAAAATATGTCGTGAAATTAGACATAGAATACTAATACAACAATTATTCCTAAAGTTTAATTTACGCGTAGTGTAGTGAGCGAGTGGCAGGGAAAAGAAAGAAGAAAATAGGGCTTTCTTTTTATTTCAAAGAAGAATCTTTCTTTCCATTTCATCATCATCACCCGTGAGTTTTTCACGGGCCTATTTTAATAATTATTTTATGTGATCATAAGTATTTTGTTTTTCAGATAACATAAATGATAATATAAAAGATGGTTCAATTTTGGAAGCAGTCACTACGGAACAGCTAGTGGGAGAAACACAGGTATCGTATTATACTTTACTAAATGGTACGTGGTAGAGCCACGCTGCAGCTATATTATAGCACGAATGGGTCGGCTCGACCGGGGCAGGACCACGCTCTCGCAGAATACCAGCGTAATGCTGCTGTGTTTCGTATGGTGAGTGTAGAGAACCGGAGACCCTTTTCACTGGATACGAGGCATTCCACCTTAGTTCTCAGGGGTGACAACCGTAGAATACTATAACCTTTCAGCTGCGGAGACTCTAACCGTAATTCTCCGTTGACTGCGGAGCTGTTTAATAAAATGGACGGCTGATTGGACCCAATCCGTTTAAACGCAAATATCTTGATTTTGGTATATCGAATAGTATAATATGTATACATTTCTGAATTCTCTATGAAATTTCCTATAAACGAGTACATACATTTAATAAAGTTTAAAGTAGTTAGTATGACTAAATATAGAATAAAGTCAAAACTATCATATTTCTCAATGACACAAAATTTTTAATAGTTCAATTTTATTTTATTTTAATCTTAGGTCTATTGTTTACAATATTTTATGTGCAAAATCATAGGCTACAATACAATTTTTTATCGTAAAACGCATTAATAATAAGCTTACAAGAACCCACAATCAATTTACACCGATGTAGCATGTAGTTCGGACCAGATGCGGCATAATGCGGCGTAATGCTTTAGTCAATAAAAATAGTTTTTTTTTATTTCATTACAATGATTCAGTCTTAAATCTCTCTTTTTCTTTACATGATTCAGTCATCATTCAATAGGTCTTGCTAAGTTTTAGAAATCCGATAAAGTATTTCATAAGTACTCTTAATGCCGATATCAAAATTTTAGTCGTAAGTGCCATATTTATTGAAAAATTAATTACTCTATTTGAGCAAACAAACTTTAACAGCACCTGTACAGAAATAAAGATTCATTCATTCCTTTAAAAACCATAAAAGCACTCATGAGTCAGTCCCGCTGATGTAGAGTTATAAATAACGTTTTTTGTAAACAATACCCAATGCACCATAATATGTGTCGAGTGACAGAGGCGCCGCGAGGTGCGCAGCGGTTATGTTACATTTCCAATAACCAATAACATTATTTCTCCAAACGGTAACATATTTCCTTTAACACAAACAATAGCTACGAAATAATAAAATTTAAAATAAATATATCTCTTTCTGAAAAAAAAAATACTATTTATGTATATTTTCAAAGAACCCACTTCTTATGCATTATACAAAAATATGCCACAATTAAAGTTCGATTCTGCACTGTTTTGTGCATCATGTACTAGTTCATTAAAACATTTTTTATACGTGGTAGAGCCATGCTGCAGCTATATTAGTAGTACAGTTGTAGCACGAATGGGTCGGCTCGACCGGGGCAGGACCACGCTCTCACAGAATACCAGCGTGAAATAATAGCTTAATGCTTCTGTGTTTCGTATGGTGAGTGTAGAGAATCGGAGAGCCTTTTTGCTGGAAACGAGGCGTTCCGTCTTAGTCCTCACGGGTGACACGCATTTTTGCATTTTGATTTGTAATCGAGGATAGATGTAGATGTGTATGGGCCGCAGCAAGCACCACAGGTGGACTGCGTGCTCGTTTGTCACCCTATCCTATAGAAAAAAAAAACATACAAAATAAAGAGGTGTATTCATTTCAACGATGAGAGCCGTGGTAGCTCAGATGGTTAGCTCTCGCTGTAAATTTCATAGTACGCTAGCAAGCAGGGTTCGATCCCCGCTAGCAATAATGAAATTGTTAATTGCAATTTTAAGTGCTGATCTACCACGTGCTCGGCGGTGAAGAAAGACATTGTGAGGAAACCTGCACGTCTGTGAAATAAGAAAAAAAAATATTTCGAAGACATGTGAAGTTCGCCAATACGCATTGGGGCAGCGCGACGGAAACTTATTTGCCTTTGCCCAGCTGTGGGGCGTAAAAAGGCTGTAACTTAACTAACTTAAGTATTCATTTCGACGATGAGAGAGCCCTGGTACCTCAGATTGTTAGGTCTCGCGTTAAATTTCACAGTACGCTAGCACACCGGGTTCGATCCCCGCCGGCATCAATGAAATTATTAATTGCAATTTTAAGTGCTGACTTACCTTTGCTCGGCGGTGAAGAAAAACATCATGACGAAGTCTGACTGTCTGATAAATAAAAAAAAATATTTCCAAGGCATGTGCAGTTCGCCAACACGCATATGGGCAGCGCGGTGGATACTTCTTTGCCGTAAAACCCTTTCAGAAGTGAGGGAAGGCCCAGCAGTGGGACGGAAATAGGCTGTGTAACTTAACTAACTTAACAATTTCGACGATGATAGTCTGAAATAATTAGCTGAACAAGTTATAGCTAGGCAACAATAAAAACTAAATGGATGGATAAGTATAAAATTGAATAAATATATATAATATAGGTACTTATTTCTTTAAAAGGCTCCTGGTACTTGTTGGATTTACTGTATCTACAGTACAATTCATTTACGAATGGTACTGTAGGTAGAAGCAATCTTGCTATAAGTTGAAACATAACGCAACGTTACACGATTTGCAAAGTACATACAGATAAAATGTACATTAAAAAAACCAGTATAAGAAATATGTGTCTGGGGTGACCTTAAAAACTACAACCTGTTCATATTAAATTAAAAAAATAAAAATTTCAAATATTAAATATTAAAAAATATTAAAAAGCAAATTATGTAAATACTATCTAACTTTCTGTTTTAATAAATTGTTTAAAAAATTCCGAAGTCTGGTGTTAACATACATGACATATCCAAATGCCACATTCAATTTTTTATAAATCATCGAATAATCGTGAAGTCAACCAAGCTCCATTTCTCTGCTCGAGGGCGCTAGATTCTTTACCATTCTAACCACTCAAACGAATTTGAACTTGATGCAGTATGGCAAACTTTAGTTCCTTTTTTCGCCACCCGCAAAACAGAGAACTAGAATTTACTTCTACGGACGTCTCAAAAATGGACACTATTGCACCTATTGCGTATATACATTAAAATTTTAAAAATATTGCACTTTATCCACATTTTGATGTACTAAAACTGTGAACGATGAACAATTATACATATTTTAACACAAAACTGACAGTCAACAATAAAATTTTACGTACATTTCAAGTAAACTTTCCTCAACCAGCATGTTAGTTTTAAGATAGCTGTTTGCTTCATACATATTAAAAAAAGATTTTACACGTACTTAATAAGATAAAACACAAAATGAGATTACAAATAAGAAGATTACTTACCCAGGCATTGTTTTAACACAATTCACCACACATTAAATATAAATTAATACAAAATAATTAAAAACAACTTCGTTGTTAGCGCGCGTCAATCACATTAATGGCTGATTCAAGGAACGGACGACATTTAAGAATGATTTAAATAAAATATACTACTAAAGTGTATAAGCTGTGGAGTTTTTATGCTAGCCTTTTTTATCCTGTACACATTGACATATGGTAGAATGAGTTAGAAATAGCGCATAATGCTTTGTTTCTTCATTAAAAGAGCGGGTAAAAAATGTCTAAAACTTGGACGCCCGCAGTCAACGGAGATATTTTCGTGTCTTGGACATCAACCTTTTTTTGTACGAGGATTCTACACGCAATTACTTCGTACTACAATTCGCTGTGTTGACAGCCTGAGCGAATTTCGTCGTCAATATAAAGATGAAATCGTTTAAATTTTAATACATATTTATTTGTAAATAGTGTGCAAACTAATCGTAAGTACAATCGCAGTAAGTATCATTTTTTTCTTATTGTAAATAAAAAGTTGTTGAACACGTTTAAGATACGTAGCATTATATTAGTCTTTGCATTTAAGCAAACTGTAGTATATAATGGTATCACCGCTAGGGATGTAGTCTTGTTTAGTGACTTAGCGGTTACCGGTAAGCACCGGTAAAACTTGAGTGTATTTATTTTGAAATATTTTAATAATATTTTTGTTATTAATTTTGTACAATTTTATACTTAAAGATAAATACTAAAGTATTCACTTTGTAAAAGTGCAATGAAAAAAATATTTTGTATGTTCCAAATACACGATTCTTTGTAAATTTTTCGATTAAAAAATCCGAAATTTTACTTCAAGAAATATAAGACAAAAACGTAATTTGCTACCAAAATGTATTAAAGATAGTTAAATAGAGTTATTCAGAATCACATGTATGAGAAATCCATACTTTACTATTATATTGCGAATGTCCTGTCTCAGGCTTTTATGGCTAAAACGCTGAATCTATTTCAATAAAATTGAGATAGTTGGCCTGGTTAAGTCAAAAAATGATATCACAGCTAAGTAGGCTAAAAACCTACTTTAATTTAGTCGTTATTAGCCGTTAAACCGCCAATTTGGATTAAAACGGTGAAATGGGTATAAAACTTAGTGAGTATATAAAATGCTAAGCCATTCAACCGATTTTGACGAGATTTGGTATTCAGATAGCTGGAAAGATTAAAAAAGCTAGGTTATCTTTTATCCTCAAAGAAATAACGCGGTATGACTGAATTCCATGCGCACGAAAACGTATTCGTATACTTTTTTAAATTAGTATTTCTTTATTTTTTGTTATCTTTAAAACATGTTGGCCTGTTCATCTACGTTAGTTAACATCCATAAATTGTAACAGGTTGCTATGAATACAAAACTAATTAAAACTAAATGTTTGTCTATTAAGAAGGTACTTACTTCCTTTAATAAATGAAACAGTATTGATGGAATAAACATTTATTAAAAGCTTACTACAAGTAAAAGTAAAGTAAGTAAAGTACAGCCTATATACGTCCCACTGCTGGGCACAGGCCTCCGCTCATTTCTGAGAGGGTTTTAGGGCAAGGAAATGTCTGTCGCGCTGCCCCAATGCGTGTTGGCGAACTTCACATGTCTTCGAAATATTTTTTTCCTTATTCCTCGGACGTGCAGGTTTCCTCATGATGTTTTCCTTCACCGCCGAGCACGTGGTAAATCAGCACTTAAAATTGCAATTAACAATTTCGTTGGTACCGGCGGGGATCGAACCCGGGTTACTCGTGTTCTGTTATATTTACAACGAGCGTTAACCATCTGAACTATACCACGGCTCGAGTAATAACAATTCAACCCATCCGTAATTATTAATCGATCGAGTGTATATGTCTACTATGTATTCTTTAAGTCCGGATCTCCAGGAGAACTGCAAAAATAGTTTATAGAAATAAAAAGTATCAAAAAAAGTACCAATAGTGGTAAATAGTACAGTATTCGTAAGCCAACAAAAAGCAATCGCCAAATTAGATGAAAGAGTATAAACATATATATTTTTTTAACTTTTACAACAAAATGAGTCTACCCAACTCTTTGTGGGTATGAGGCGTGAGGTGAATATATAGTATATAGTAATGATACGTTATCAGAAGATCGAATCTTAAAACTTTATTGCAAATTTTTGATGTTATCCTATAGGGAATAAATTTACAATTTTAAAAAAAATGTTAAAATTTAGTTTATTCGTAGGTCATTAAATTAATATTTTTCATCGTATTTTATCGTTTTCTCTATTTAGCTTTTCAGCCAAGTTCAAATTTAAAAACGACGATATTTTCCGGCTTATCAGTATCGGTAAAATTTTGTTACATCTCTAGTGCTTCCAATATCTGTTGTTTTTTACACATGAATATTTCTTTATTAGTAACGTCAAAAGAGATATGTTGACATTTATACGTGTGAATGATGTTGTGTATGTTAGTAATATATTAGTAGCTACACGGGCTCCGGCCACTCCCCCGTTCTGTTATATAATATTTATTATAGTATTCTGTGGTGACAACGCATCTGCATTTTGATTGATAATGGAAGATAGGTATATAGTATGTATGTACATGTATGTATGTACAAAAATGTAGGTGTGTATATGAATTACAGCATTCGCTTACCAGCTCTGGGTACTCGGTTGTCGCACTTTTTAACACAACTGAGTTTATTGTAAATATACTATTAATGTTACTCTCATCTTTAATATATACAATTTATTAAATATATATGTTTTGTGTACAGTGAAGGGTATTATTATGAAATTTATGTATCAATAAATACCACTAATTTGAAATAAACTTGCGTTACTGAAAAACTAAAAAGAAAATCTTAAACTAAATAAGTTAATGTCAAAAAAAAATTATAAAATATCAGTGCTAAGGTTTCTATTTCGTTCACCTGTTAAACCCAATTTTTCTAGACGGTAAAAAATCCTCCAGTATATATCTATATAAAGGCTCGCGTCCACTAGGCTCGACGAGCCGAGTCGAATCGAATCGCAGAAAGTCGTCGTCCATTAGCAACGGGCCGCGGCGCCCCGAATTGAATCGAATGATAAGATTCGATTCGATTCGGCGCGCCTCAGTCGACGCGTAGAAGTGAATGCGCGCCAACGTATTTTATTAATTTTTAAATAGTTTTCATAAAAATCTTTGTTTAAATAAAAATGAATGAAGAATTTTTTCATGGGATGAGCGAAAGTATTGAAAAATTTAAAACGATCCCTTTTCAAATCTGGATATAAATAATGATTTCTTATATTTACGCAAACACTACACATTGATTAAAACTACTTTTACGGATTTTATCGCGTTTAATTTTAATTATTTTTATTTTTAATTCCTGACGTTTCGGGTGCTTTCCAGCACCCATGGTCTTGGGGAACTCAGGTGACTGACGTCTCGATGTCATTGTTAAACCCGGAGTACCTTCAGCTTTTTTAATTATTGTTTATGGTCCGATCTATGCAAAATGAACTGACTATGTCCTGAGGTCTTGCAGTGGTATGCTTGGGTTTAGTTTTAATTTTATTGATTATAGGGTCCCAAGCAGGTGGTAGTACCCAGCCTCCTTCTCTATTGAAATTAGGATGTTTTTTAATTTCAATAGCCTCACGTGTCATCCTTAGTAGGAATCGATGTTCTTTCGCGAGGATTAGTGGTCTATCAAATCTGATTAAGCAGAATGCAGACTGCAGACTTCCCGGAACGTTGATGCTTCACATCACTGGATATAGATGATAAAATTCACCATAGTTATTTCTTTTGCTTATAAATGACGTGTATACAGAATTTGGGAGCACACCGTTTTCTTTTTTCTATTCTCCTCTGCTTCATCAAAAAGTATTCGAAATAAATCTCACATCTCTTCATATTTCATTTCGCTCATGTTTCTTTATGCTCATTTCGTTCGTTCATGACGCAAAAACGATCTAACTTGATAACGAGTTTGCGATGAATGAGCGATTCGAATCGATTCTTCAGAGATGGACGCACTAGGAATAAATGCGACTCGCTTCGATTCGACGCGTTTCTACTGTAGTCGACGCCAGGCTTAATACTGAAGGTTTAAAGTGAAATATAGCTTATATTATGGCCGAATTTCGATTATTAGTATGTGTAAATCAGCCTTAAGGGATTTCTTTAGATAAAAGTACTCTTTTTAAGCCATAGTTTAAATCCGAGACTATCCACAGCATACACTTATCATCAGGTAGTATCACCTCGTATTATAAAAAAAATATCAACCATTATCACCTCCACTAATTGTTTGTTTTTCAGGAAATAACAAGTAGTAAAGCGTCAGGCGCTGCGGGCATGGTGAGACTCGTGCAGGTGCAGCTGCCGGATGGCAGGAGTGGCTGGCTCGCTGTGGACTCATAAGTCAACGAAAATGCTTTGTTTATGGATTTCATGGCGACGCGTGATCAAATCTCAGTCGACACCAGTACATTTAGTCTATACATTAACTTACTAATAAACAAATTCTCAACTGCTACTCAATTTTAAGATCTCGCCAAGTCTCGTGGTGTCACAGTCACTTGACTTTGACAGAGACCGCACGAGACTTATCTTAAAATTTATTAATGTTTGAGTATTTGAGCATGAGTGTATTATAAACGACATTATGTCAAATAAAACTTATATCTATACATATAAATATAATGTATCTGTCTGTAATATTGAAGTAACTGGACTCTATTAAGCTAGAGGGGGGAGGGGCGGGGTAGCATAACTACTTCACTTTTGTTTAACACTTGGTTTCACTCCCCATATAAATTGTGTACCGCGTGCTATACAACACGTAACAAAAAGCCTGTGGTTACCGTTAAGTGCATCATCAGAATCAGTATTCGAACGTAAAAGAATTACGTTTACTTTATAAAATTATAAAATTAAATTTTTTTAAATATTTTTTTTATTAAAAATTAATAAATTAGTATATTCATGAACCTATATCATCCATGAATGTCGTAAGGGGCGACAGAGGAAAATCAGGAAATGGGCAGCAGCGTGTTCCTAATGATGACTAAAAATAAAACTGCGGTTGCCAACCCGCTTGCCAAGCCTGGCAACTATGGCAAATATCCTCCCTAACCCATAGGGAGAATATTCCTATGGGATAGGGAGGATAGAATAGTAGCTTACATTCAACAGTGGGCCTTAAGACCCTTGTTTACCGATGCGCGTGTCAGTTAGAGATAAAAATAACTATGTACAGTTTGCAAGTAAAACGTTACTTAAATTAATTTTAATTTTCGAAGTAAAAACTTTAGATTCGTTGTTATTTAAAACTCGGTGAAACGAAAAGGCAATACTGAAAAGAGACAGACATATACTATCTATATTCATATTCACAAACACGTCATTCATATTCATTTATTGCGTCTTGTTGTTACATAGGTGTTACAAAAATGTTTAAGTCACAAACAAGAGATCTATAAGGGCACTGCAAATTACTTACGGAACTAAACACTTAATATTAATTATATTATAAACATTTAATATTAATTATATTACAGGTATTGACATTTAATATTATATATCATAAAATGTAGGATTCACCCCGCGAGAGAATGAGATAGATATTAAATGAATCGTGTTGAGACTCAACCAATTTTTGTTCAATCAACTAACTTTACTCATCGAATAAATTAGATCGCGCTATTACAATGCAATTTTACTCGAAAGAAAATATTCACCATAAAATTTAGTCTCTGTCTAAAGGGGACAATCATTTTTGGGCCCACTAAAAATATTAACGTCCACTAATGGTATTACATCAAAAAAAAGACACCAAATTATAATAGTAAATGGCCTACAGATTTTTCGAAAATGTAAACGGAATCAAGAAATACGAAAAAAAATTAGTTGTTTTGATATTCGTGTTCTGATTAGTGTAATATGGGTAAAATGCGTGTACCTAATTAGTCATTTTGCAGCTTGTATAAAAAAGAAAACTATTTTTTCACAAAGCTGACTTAAAAAAAGATACCACTAAGAACTTTATGTTTAATTTCTAAAAATTTTAGCTAATATCACGTTATAACATAGTTCTAAATGACTGTGAACCAAAACGTTATTTTATCATTGACTTCCGGTAATTCCCAGCGGCCGGCGGCCGGGTACGGCGGGGCGGGGCGGCGGGGTATTACCTACGTCTTTAATCTTAACGGCATTGACGTTCGTTACGCTACTGTTTTTTTGTATTTATATGCGATTTTAAGAAAATGGAATCTGCTAGATCAGCATACAATGAAAATAGAAGTGTATGTTGCAATTGTGGAGTCAGGTTTCAACGCAGTGTGCGAAGACAATTACTGGCCGAGACAACTGCTGATGTGCGCCAACTTTTATCTGTGTGGATTTCTCATGAGGTAGGTATAATATTATCTCATGGAAAGCTAATCACTGCACTATACAATCTATCTACTTACATATTATCTAGATTTAAACTTTTATGAGAAATATATATTATTTTTGTTACTCTCGATTTTATTCCAACAATATTACTATACTGCGGAAACGAAAATTATATATTTTCTTTATTAATGTATTACTTAATATTTTTATTTTTGTTGAATAATATGGGATATGGTACGATTTTTTAGAAATAATACGAAAGAAAACGATCCACAGACTCCAGGCACACATAACGATCTATACATGATTAAGTACTTAATTATTTTAAGTTTTTAAAAGTAATAATAAATATCCCTTCATATTATTAATAAATTCATACCTTCTATAGCTATAATTTTAATCTTTCGTTATATTAAATTGATAAATGATATATTATATTGATTGAATTATTTTATATTTTGACACAAGATGACACTGCATTCTTTCCTGCTATTTACCAACTTACAGGCATAGTTCTTTGCATTGACTCCATTGACTGGCATTGACTGTAAAAATATAATATGGCATAAACTTGTTTGTTTAAATTGATGTAAACTGTGTTCGTGTTAAAGTAAAAGTTTAAAAATGAAAATTCACGTAGTTTTACTGCTTACAAGTGGATTAGTATGTTAATGTCTAATTGATGCAAAAAATGTTTAACCTAAGGGTTATATCATGCACGTAAGTCAAATATTAAATACCTATATCACATTTATGTATATAATTTGCCAATGACATTCGAAAATGCAAACTGACGAGTAAAAGTCCATGTGAGTAATACAAAAGTTTATTTTTTCCTCCTAGAATTTTGTAAAATCTATAACTTATACTGAATTAACCTTTAACAAATGATAAACACAGGTCTTACTAATGTGTTAAATGTTAAAGTATTGAAGTTTTATGTTATTAGTGAAATCTAATTTAAATAATAGATAAAATAAAGTCACACAATATACACAAAAGAAGTTTTTGTGGCATGGTATGATGTATCACATGTTATGTGTGTCTAATTATCTTTTGTCAGTCAATCAGAAATCAAAGTCGAAAAAGTATAGGTATATATGTGTCAATATTTATTCTAAGGATAAAATATTATGTAAATAGAAAAGTAAGTTATTTTGTGCAATGAAAAATATTTCAATCCACTGTAATATTACCGTTACAGCCAATTAAACTCCACTGCCGAACATAGGCCTCCCCCATATATTACTAATATTACACAACTCCATAATACTCTAATATTATAAAGTTTATTTATCACTATATGATATACCTGAAATACTGTAAATATTGTAAAATCATAATATATTAATCGATATTTGTCTTTTGGATTTCCAATTTTTTTTTTAATTGAAAATGTATTGTATTTCAAATAATATAGGGTTCCACATCAAACATTCACTTTCATGCCAACTTCGCTTCCCTCCTCAAAATGTACATTTATCTGAACTTAATATTTATTTACTCTTTTATTTTTAATTCCTGATTTTTTCAGTTACACCCACTTGATGCAGTTTGTTGTAACTGCCTAAGAATATTGCAAGAAAGTGTTGCATCAGCTCACTCCATTAGAAGATTTGGGTACAGGAATATTTGTATTCCATGTGGATCTTCAATGTTAAGAGCACACCGTAGACGGATTGTGCCTATTAACTCTGAAGAAAGAGATATTATTTTGCAGTGGATACCATCACACCAGGTACTTACCTTATTTTAAAAGGCTGTAAATGGTCCCCTGCCTCAAATAGGCAGCCCAGAGGATTTGCCACAATCGCTTTGGTACACAGATTGATGTTTGTAAAATCAGACACCTTGCATACAATTTGGTCTGATATTTATGCTCATTCAACATGGCAGTTCACTAACAGGTTATCTTTAAATTTACAGTCTACCAAAAGTCTACTGCTGAACATAGATTGTCTTATGGGGGGATATTTGCCATTAATAACCAATTTTTTTATTTTTAGTTATTAGATGAACGATACTTCTTCCTTATCTTACACCCATATTTGTATGCTTTTGTACTTATTATACAAGTAATATTTTTTACCTTAAAAGATATTAGTATAAATAAAACGGGTTGGGTTTACAATTCGTTAGCCTCAATTTGAAGATTCTGTTACTGTGGGGGGGCGTCAAGGGAGTTTATCTGAAGCACCTACACGCGAGTTTTGCTACCGGAGCAGCATCGAAGTATTTTTATTTATTTTTTGAAAATATTGGTAAACAACTAATTAATTAAATATTCTCACGTTTTTGACGTTTTATCTGTCAATGTCATATCGATATATAGTACTAAATCGATCTAGTGAATCGATATTTCACCCTAGAGAATCAAGATCAAATCTTTTCTGTTTTGTTAAGATTTACAAAATTATTTATAATTAGTTGAAAGTACCCCAACTCGTAAAGAATGACAGTTTTTCAATTTAATCATTCAATGTTATCTGAAACTTTAAAGAACTTGGGCTTAGTGAAATATTGTTAATAATTCTAAAATAATTACTTCTTGTCTGATATGTGATGTATTATTTATTTCTATTTAAATAAGTAGTGCCACAAAAATATTATGAGGGGAAACAATTGCATGCTAATATTTATAATTTTAAAAGACATTAAAACTATTTAGTGTTAGAAAGATTGAAATAAATAGAACAATAATAAATATTATTAATATTTAGAGTAGACACTGTAAAACTATAGTTCATTTTGTTAGTTGATAAAAAATAACTTTTTTCAGGTGGATCGTTTAGAACGAGTATGCAGTCCTTGCTGGCTGAGGGCTTCCAGAGCTGTATGGAGACAGAGACAACAAAATGAGAACAGGGATATTGAGCTACAATCCATGAATATAGAAGACATCGGTAACATCCCACAACCACCCCCTATACCTGCACCTGTAACCCCTGCCATTTCCAGAGCGGCATCAACAATTACTATGGCTAATTATAAGCGTGCTGCTTCTACTTCCCGTCACTGTA